GCATATCAGGGAGAATAGCAGACTTCCACCTGGCATGTCAGCTTTCAAGATTGAGGCAGTTTGGTATGGGGAAGCATTCAACCACATAAATCCCCACTCTAAAAGCATACAACCTAGTCACAGGTTTACAGCCTAAGTGCAACTCCTGCAATCGGAGGATGTGTCCTGGAAATGATGAAAATCTCAATTGTCATGCCAGCCCTCATGGTTGGCATTCACGTACTGGCAACAATGTACTTTTGGCTACAGCAGTTTCCTTAATAATAATAATAATTTATTATTTATACCCCACCCATCTGGCTGGGTCCCCCCAGCAACTCTGGGCGGCTTGCAACAAGGCTCCCAAATCAGAGGACACATCACTAGAAGATATCTCTGAACAGATTTAAGATCTGCCCCCAAATACATACAGAATTGCATTTAATGGCACATAACTATGTAAAAAATACTATTCCTTCTTCCTATTTAGTCAAAGAAGCAAAAATAACCAGCAGCCATAGGAGTGTTAAGCACCTTGGAGAAATGTAGACTGGTAATTCAGAGATCTCTGTATGAAAGGAAGTTGAGCTTAGTTTTAAAGCACTTTACAAGTGAATAGAAGGTGTGCTATGAAGATGTAGGGAGAGTGAGATAAATTGAAGGATGTAACTGGTGAGAAGTATACAAGATAAATATGGGTGAAATTGGAAAAGGATAACAAAGACAGTCCCCATCTTCTAGTAATAAACTACAGAAGTAGTTACAAAAGCACTACATACAGTCTCTCCTACAAACACAGAACATCATCATCATCATCATTACTACTACTACTACTACTACTACTACTACTACTACTACTATTTGTATACTGCCCTTCATCTGAAGATCACAGGGAAGTGATCAAAATAAAAATCACTTGGATCTCATCTGCGACTACTGGCTCAGGGACTTTGCCCATGAAGGGGAAATTGGCAACTGACTGGCAATTACTTAGATTTTCCAAATCCATGAAAGGTTTCTTGAGGAGTGGTTTTACCACTGCCTCCTTCAAACAGGCAGGGACCACCCACTCTTGCGGCATCACTGCGGGCCCCTGGGGGCGGCTCGCCCCACCCTCGTGGGCAGCTCGCCCTGCCCCCGCCACTCTGGGTGCCAGAGCAGTTAGCTACACCCCTGCCTATCCCTGGCCCATTCAGCTGTCCCCTGCCTGCTAGTTTTTATCAACAAGAGGGTCTAGGGTCCAGAGTGCAAGTGGTCACCCTGACTGATCCAAGCACCCTGGCCACATCCTCATGCCTTACCAACTGAAACTCATTCAGCACAACTGGACCAGACAGTGCTTTTGACACCCCTTCATCTGCTTCATCTACAGATTTGTCTGCTGTAAAAGCAGAGTCAAGATCCTTGTGAGGACAAGTTACAGAGAGCTACCGTCTCAAAATGCTTTGCAAACAAGTTACAGAGAGCTACCGTCAATTCTGCCACCTCCTTTGGGCCAAATTGCAAGAGGCCCTGGACCACCCAGAAAAGCTCTGCTGGATGGCACAATAAAGATACAATGAGTTCACTGCCACTAGGTAGGCTCAATGATGAGCTCTCACCAATGTTCCATTTCATTCAACCTGAGTTTTCCTATGCTGGTGTTTGAGCCGTCTCCCAGCTTGTTTTCTCACACTAAGCTCTGGAGAATACCATGGAGCCAAGTGGGCTCCATGAGGGTGCTCTTGTCCATGGCCTAAGCCATTCAGATGTTGCAGCAAGAGCTTCGACTGAAGTGCCTGTCATAATAGCTAGGAAATTTCTCTGTCTCATCTGGACACCCATTGGATCTATCAGCCTAAAAGGTCCCTTGGCTCTGCAAAGGGGGGAAAGGTGCTGAAATCCTAAATCTCAACAGGAATATCCCCTACTTTCAGATCACTCTCTTCCTGTCCAGTTGAAAATACAATGTCCAGAGTGTAGCCTGCCACATGTGTTGAGCCAGTGACATGTTGGGGCAGTCCCATGCCAATCAAACCAGGATAAGTATTTTTTGAAGAATCCACTTCTATTTTCTCACACTGCATATCTGGGAAAGTACTTTCTGGCCATTCTGCTGTGCATATAGAAAATAATGGGATGTTAATGAAAACGTAACTTGTGTCAAAGCATTAAAATACCTGTCTTGATTATCTCCATTCTTTTATCAGGGTTTATTTGTCGCAGATCTGTGGAGGGAAATGCTTTTCTGTTAATGTTCTTTTTTGTTTACATTGGGAAAAGGATAGCAAACATCTATTTTCATTGACCCTGATGATTAGGCAGTGTTTTCTTCTGGCAGATAGCTAACCCCAGTTATCCTCACACTTTCTTCCATTTCTTCAAAAAATATTCCTTACTTCCTCATTATTCTGAAATATGAAGACATCAACTATTAAGTGTTGGACATGGGTGGTCAATACAAAGTGGGGACTGAAAGAAGAGGATTCTGCTTTACAGCTCCTGTGAGAGAAATGATGGCTGACATCCCAGAAAAAAACAACCGGTTCTATTGCTAATAAAACACAGAACTGCATTGTTACTAAATTCAAAGATTTGCATTTCCACACAAAAGCACTTGCCTTCATCAGAACTGTATTTTGCTTTACACTTTGACAAAGCACGTGCTGATCTTTCAGGCAGCTTCAGTACCTTCACACAGGACTATGAAATTTACTATTGCCTTGAACTCTATGGTGCAGGTATAAAACTTGTTGTGTAGTGAAAACAGCCTTCAGTAACTACAAATGCAGTTACATCACCGGCTGATTACAAGCTTGTCCAAGAGCCATAGTTTGAGCACAGAATGGTGTCAGATTGTTTCTCTCAAGAGATAACTTAGAGTAGACCCACTGAAATTAATGAGCCCAAATTAGTGTGAGGCTAACATTGGATACAACCCTTTATTTGCAAACAAGGCAGCATTCCTGAGAACTGCTGCTTCCAAATAATTCACTGAGAACTGAACAGTTAAACAGATTAAAAATTCAAGATACATACACAGTGACATTTTACTTCAAAGTGATTTTACAAAACCTCTATCACCGCAAGGTAAGTTAATCGCATATTCCATTCATTAGCAATGGGTGCAGAGGTTAACTTGCACTTAATTAGAATTAATTTTAATTTTACTGGAATAAGGAAGGCATATTATACAGCATCGCTCTTAACATTGTATCATATAGCTATGAACAGTAGTTCTTTATGCAGATTTCACCAGTCTCACATCCCCTCTTCCCCCAAACACTTGAGCAGGAAGCATCTGCAAAAGGGAATATATTCTGGGAACGATGAGGCGACATATCACTGGAAACAGAGGATGTAAAAATAAAAACAGGAAAGCATATTAGGCTAATGTTTAGAATTCTGCTGTCAGTCAGATAAAGGGAACTGAGAGAAATGGGGGAGGGAGGAGAAGCATTTGATGTGAAGCAAATCCGTGAAAAGGGAAGAGGGGACACCTTTCATTAAACGAAGCTTGTATGTAAGAATGAGCTTCCTTGTCATGAATAATTGGGTTGCCAGTTCTAATGCTCAAGCTCAGCTTTCCTTTTGAAAAGGGTGCAAAATTCTTGGCAGCCAACTAGAGTCACCCTAAAGGCAAAAAAGGGCAGAAAACCAGCAAGTAAAACAACCTCAACATTCATAGGAATTTAAGGAACATCTTGTTATTTCAGAGCCTCTCATGAAAAGGACCAAGGTGGGGGCTGAGCAGGCTTCTGCATGTGTCAGTAGCACTTCCATGCTTCAATAGTCCCTAATCATGATTACAATTATTAGATCATCTTAAGTAATGGACAAAGCTCCCTGGCTCCATAGGTCTCAAACAAGCTCATATGGTCATAGCTATTGAGTTTTTTCTTCTCTATAACCTCAAAGGCAACTATCCCAGTCACATGCTTTGCTGTCTTACATGTAACTAGCCAAAGCAAATGACATATTTAGGGCCAGCTGCAAGACTGCTGCACTATGACCACACTGAGCTAACCTAGCTTGATAACTGCTAAGCACTACCCAAATGCAGTCTAGATAGAGCATGTTGCTAAGGCCATACTCAATGATCCCAATATTCAGTGCTTTCTTATGGCCATCTCTGAGTTTCTTAGACAGAATTTGAATCTGTATATTGTTATGATGCTAGTCTAAACTCAAATTTAGCAAAATCTTTCCATGTTTCTGTGGAGTCAACAAGTACATTCAAGACCTCCGAATTGCCATTTGCCTTTTTGGTCTGACCACCTACCTAGACCTTAAGACTGGGTGTCCCTTTTTTCTTTTATCTGTATTATCCGGAAAACTGTGGACAAACACTGGCTTCCTTGGCCTGACGCAAGATGAGCGCCACACCCCAGTCATTTTGACTGGACTTAACTGTCCAGGGGTCATTTACCTTTACCGTTATCTGTATACCTGGGCTATTATATATAAATTAATATAACTTGTGAATAATTTTGTATACAACTCTCTGTATATGTTTACTGTGGCTGCAGCCAAGTGGAAGCCGTGGTGGACGTTTGGCTTCCGAAAATCGTTCGGAAACCGGAACACTCACTTCCGGTTTTTGATCGTCTGGGAACCAAAACGTACGAGTTCCAAGGCGTTCGGCAACCAAGGTACAACTAATTTCAAATTATCTCATCCCCCCATACCCACATTTTAGGAAGGTTTCCTAATAATTTTTTTGTATTCTGCAACCTTGGGGGCTTCCTCAAACCTGCCAGCACTCCCCACCCCATGCTATTTTAGTTCCAAAAGGATCTACACTTAGAGGATGAGTTTACCATTAACAAATGGGATCATTAGGTCACCCATATCAAGTGGGTCCAGTTCATACACAGTAAATAAATTAATTACACTGCAGCATCTCTTAATGTTAGGTTTAAAATGTTTAAACAAGCTGTATTAATATCACAGCAGATATTCTACCACGATTCTCTCATGTTTCACCAAATTGTTTATTTTATTTATTTTATTTTATTTTATTTTATTTTATTTTATTTTAAGAAACTGTAACTTTAGTTATAACATCTCCTATTTACCTGGTATATGGGAGCTCTGCTATTCAGTTTCCAAAATCTTGCAAATATAATTATAGCTGCAGTCAATAATTTGTACATTAATACTTTGAGGTTTAATATCCAACAAAATCCAGCTGACCGATTTTGGCCACCTGCGTCCCTTATGCCTCCTGTAGACCATTTTACATATTTATTATCTTTATAGCCATTTTCCAAAATTTTATTTCACATAACCAGCAGATGTAGGAAAATCCATACACTGTACTATTTAGCTTGGCATTCTGAATTAACAGTAAACAGGAGATCCAATATTTTAAGATCTAAACTTCAGCCAGCATCCTGTACCTCACAAAAGAATGTACACTAGAATTGGACAACTAAGTCTTTCACATAAATGTTAAACTACTATCCACTATAGATAGATAGATATAGTTGAATAGCAAGAAGAAAAGTGTTGTTTCATTGATGAAAATAAAAGCAATCCTCCACAGCATTATTACAGGAAAAAAGCCAAGGGTGCTAGCCAGAAATTTTAACACCCATACTTAGAATACATAGTGCAGGTGCTAAAGGTTAGACTTCTGTCAGAATGTTTTAACACTGTGTACAGTTTGTTTCAGGCAGATTATGCTCCAGGAACTTAAACCAGATGGCCACAGGCTCGTAATTGCACTCCAACTACATTCATCTCCTTCACCTATACAGCAGTTGACATGGCAAACCATGAGCCATTAATTTGAGGGTGTACAGAAACAACATCAAACCGTAAAAGCACATGTAAGCTGAGGGATAGTGAAGGAAAGACATTTATTGTGTGGGTCTGCATTCACATTACTGCCTTAAGGCACACTTGCAAACCCTGGTACTATGCCTTTTCCCTGCCTTTGTGGGCCTTCCTTCGCTGGACCACAGCCTTCAGCTGTCAATCATGAGCACCCAGAGCAAAAACATAAAAGCATGATGGGTGGGTGGGAGAGGCCAGGTAAGGGGAATACGGCACATGCAGTCAGTGACTGCATCATGTGCCAGCCAGCCCGCCCCTCCTCCAACCTGGGGAATTGCAGTTGTCCTATCAGCCAGCCCCCAGGTCTACTGTTTCTGAATGCCAGGTCAGCTCTGAGTAAGAACTCTCTCATGATCTGAATATAGATGAGGAGGCCGTTCTGGTCTGTATCACTGACACCTGGATGGTTGAACAGGACGGAGTGGATCTCATCCAGCTGTGCCCACTTGAGTACTCAGGGCAGACTTGAGGATCAGGGAGGGGGAGTTGCTGTAGTCTATATAAATTCCCTTTCTCTCTCCAGGCTCTTTGTCCAGTTGGGGGTGGAGGGGGGGTTAGAGTGTGTGTTCCTGGCATTGGGTAGTTGGGACAGATTAGGGATTCTACCACCTTCCTTGCAGCCCTGAGCTCTCCCTGCCTGCGCTGACAGTATTGGTGGTGTTGAGGACTCTCAGGCTGCTGAGTCTATATAAGGGTGTTGAGCAGCGAGTAGAATTCAGCAAGGAGCTTCTGAAGCTGAGCACAGTGAGAAATGCCTGCAATCTGGCTCAAAAGAAACTAGCTGAAGTCCACCTGGTGGTGAGAATGACTGTGAAAGATGGACTAAGGGTAAATGGCATACAAGTTAAATAGTGTTAAGAACTACACTTTGTGAACCAGACTTATGTAAACATCTGTTAACTGTCATTTAAAGATACAAAGGCCGGCACTTCCATGAGGCGAGGTCAAGCAATTTACCTAAAGCAGCAGATCCAGTTCCTAACCCACCCACCCCATTGCACCGCTGCCAGCCCTGCACACCCATACCATAACTGCTGCCACCACAGCACTCCTGCTCTTACTGCTAACACTGCAGAGCTGGTAGTGGTGCAGCCATGACAGCAGGGGCAAAGAGGGGGCCTGGATCTGCAGGTGTCAGGGTGTCAGGAGGGCAGCGGTGAAAGGGCATTTTGCCTAGAGCATCAAAACATCCCGGGCCACCCCTGAAGAATACAGTGGCCTTATTACAGCAAACATAAGTCTTAAATGTAACCAACTGAAGTATAGATGAAGGCTTTTGTAAATGGAATAATATCAATTTGTGGCAGTGGTTAGAAGGTTTTGAATGTATGTGCATGGTGGGAGTGGGAGAAAAGTAAGAAATGCTCCACAAGCATTGGTGAATTAGCAGAGTTAAATAAAAGCTGGTTCTCCATATATAAAGAAAAGGCAGACTCACCATAGTATTATTTTTACTCATAGGAGTCCATCAGCAAATCATTCCCATGAGTTATTGCAAGGCAGTAAGGATGTATTTCTATGGGATGCCTCCAGATTTTAGGCACTCATGTCTGATTTGAATTAGGCATGGACATAAATCCTACCCAGAGGGGTGACTTGTAGAAATGTTATTTCAAGTGCAAATTGCATCATGGAAAGCAGTCCTCATCCAGTAAGTGTCTGCAAGGGTAACATGCCCTTTCAATTACGGTTTTCGTCTTAAAAAGGGAACATCTCTTCCTGTATTGATCTCACAATTCAAAATGGTAACTTTGCTGCCTGTATTATAGCATTAAAAGATGCTACCTGTGATCTATAACAACAGTGCCTTTAACATGATAGGTAATTCAGTTCAAAACAGAAATTAGCCACTGACAGCCTCTACATCATGTCTGGCTCCTAGCTGACAACCCAGGAGGAGGAAGAGGAGAGGCAAGAACTTAAGAGCTGACCATCACCTCCTAATTTTGCCTTCTCTTCTCTAAGTTGCATCTTTCTCCTTCCATTCTGCTACAATCTCTCTCACACTAACAACATCCTGAAAATCAGTTGATCCAGAAGCTGTACTACAGTGCATGAACTGTTACTAGGCAACTCCTCCATTCTCTCCACCCCAGAAACATTTAATGTTGGAGGGGTGAAGGAAACAACAGTGGCTGGAAGGGGCAACAGGTCTTTGCTGGGGGGGGGGGGGAACCAGGCATAGGAAAGGGAAAGCACAACTTGCCACCTCCACTTACTACTTAAGATAGCACTCAGTAAATCCTATTGCCCACTAGGTGTTTCTTTAAGGGGAGGGTTTGCAGTTCAGAAAAGTACTGGTGTTGATTATTCAATAGAAATCTGTAGTAGCACCTTGATAGTCTAAACCCTGTGCTCTGAACAGATTTTAAAGAAGGACAGCTTCTTTTACAACAGAAAAGTCATTCACCCTTAACGGTCCATGAAATTCCTATGTTACAATGGGCTCAGATAGACATTTTAGCAAGGCATGTAGGAGCCAGCTGTGGAGCAAATTGCAAGCCTCAGTCTTGAACTCAAACCAGCAGGACCTGACACTACAGAGCAACCTATTTAATACGTTTAAGAATGTGCTTTTCTATGGGGGGGGGACTTCCTGGGGTTGTTTTTAGTTATATAAATAAAGTAATGTAGTAAACCACTTTTGGAGAAACTTACCATTAGTGAGAAAACATCAAATATTGGACAGCTCTTTCTGGGACCACTTGTGAGGCTCTGCCAAACAAAATCATTCTTCTGTAACAGCAAGAACATCATTCTATGAAGAAAGCATTAGATGCCACTTGGAAATGCAGCCAGATGTAATCTACAGATAAAGAAGAAGAACATGTTTTATACAACAACTCTCATTACAACACTCCTAAATCACTGACCTTTTACTTAGCTTCAAGAGAGAATAGTAATAATTCTTAGTATTTACATCACACTTGCAGTGTTCAAAGGGCTTCGCACGTGTAGTCCTGCTAAGCCTTACAATAAGACCAAGTGGTAGGTCTGTATTATTTGCAAACTGAAAATTGGAGTGAGATGTGAAGTGGCAAAGGTCACTCAGTGAATTCAACCCTAAGTGTAGAACTGAATAGTGAATTCTCAATTCTTGGCTATCACACTGGGCAACAGAGTCCTGCATTGCAGGGAGTTGGACTAGATTACCCTTGTGGTGCTTTCCAGCTCTATGATTCTATTAATTTGTCTAATCCTCTCTCCTGGGACAACCATTTCCACCACAGGAAGGACTAGGATCATCAGTCTTAGCAACTCTAATGAAAAAGCATTATTCACTTAAATTTCTACTAGAAATGCCAGAGAGTCCAATGACCTTGTCCCTTGTGGGAATAGTCATTTTCCCATTAGGGATTCTGAAAGTTGAAGTCCCAGTGCCCTCTCTAACAGGAAGTGATGTTCCACAATGGAGCTGGAGTATCCTACCACCCACTTCAACTGTCTTCCCTGGCACCACAGGTAGGTTGTTGGGATGCTAGCTAACAAAGGGAGAAGGCAGAAGAGGAGAATGCAGGCTTTTTGTGGGCACACAAAAAGACTTGAAGTTATTAGAAGGCTTAACCTGGGTGCTTGTAAAAGTGTGAGATTGTTTAGCTCAGAGTGTCCATGCAACCTTTATTTTATTTTGTCAGAAAGCTTAAATTAAGCACAGTTCCTAGTACAAACGACATGTCTCTGGATCTCACAGAAATATGTCCCCTCCTCAATTTTCATTATCAGGCTACCACAGCTATTAAAATGCTGCTTGATTTTTGAAGTATGTTCCAGGGCTCCCTCTGCTTGAAAGCCACCCGGTGTGCTGACTGTGGAGAAATGCCCTCTGCAAATTCTTTATCATCACTTCTTCCAGAGGTAGGCCATGGCTCAAATTAAACCCTGCTACTTGAGAAATTAATTCCTTACCACCTCCCTTCAAACTCTCCACAGAGTCACTACCTTGCAATTCCCTGTCCCAAGAAAACCATATGCTGATAATTACTGCACAACACCCAAGCTCTGAAATTATCATTGCAGCTGGCTCATAAAAACAATTATTACAGCTCTAAGAGGAGCATGAATTTAGTCCTGCTGAATGACATATTTCTGAAGATGTGAACTTTGTACATAAGACAGCAGCTTATATGAAGATGAGCCTTCAGTACATTTCATGCTTTCTGTAGCGTAGCTAGTTACTTAAAGGCCACCATTTAGTCCTCTTACATATATAACTTCAAGGATTAGAAGGGAAAGTACACAAAGTGCCATCCATGATAGAAGCAAGTTGATTCAGTACAGAACCAATGCCACCAAGCTCTAAAGGCCTCTTGGCTCAAAATGACTTCAGCAAACTACAGTCATGTTCTGACTGTGGAGCTATGCAAAGCAATCTTTACTAGAAATATGTCCTACTAAAGCTTACCTCAGACAGGTGTTGTATAGGACTCAAGGCACTATGTTCAATAAAATACTACCATGACAGTCCAATAGCATGCATACCTAATTGCAAGTAACACAGAGACCCTATGCAAAGTTGGCACACCTAAGGCCATTGACTGCCTCCTATTTCATAAGTCCATCCATATTGATCTTTCAAGAGTTGCTGCTTCAAGTTGCACCACCATTTGGGATGCAGTGGGTGGTTAACACAGGGCACAACCTTTTCAGCAGTACCATCAAGGCTGTGAACCTCCCTGGAGGTTAAAGCAGGGGGGGTTTCAGAGCCTATACAACCTGCTCAACATCTGTGGGACTAGTTTTTGCCAATTTCACTCCTGTTGAATTGAGCTGTTATTCTCTGTCTTTAGTTTCTGCTTATCAAATGTCATGCTTCATTGTTTCAACTATTGTTTTTCATTTTTATTGTGGATTTTTGCTATCATTGTTGCTATAACAATTCATTCCATTTTTGTTGGCCTACTTTCTGACAGTACAGTACAGTATGGGTTTTGCTACTGCTCATTTTATTAACTGCATCCTGCAATTCTGTTTCAGTTCATTTTTATTTCCATATGAGCTAAAAGCTGTATCATCATTTCCAGTGCAATCCTAAGCATGTTAATTCAGAAAGAGATCCCACCATATTAAATGGGGCTTACTCCTAAGCAGGCATAGGATCTGAGCCTTAGGCACCATTCCTAAGCATGCTTCATAGGAAGTAAATGCAACTGAACACAAGTGGACTTACTTCTGTGTAAACATGCAAAGGACTGATTTGTAAGCTGCCTTGTAAATCAAGTTGGCTATATAAATAAAATAAACTGATTAATTGCTAAATAAAATAAATTAATGACCTTAGGCATAATTAATTATGCATAGAATTGGGTTTCAAGTCCCACCAACTTAGGTGGAATTTACTACCAGACAGATATGCATATGGGTGCAGCCTAAAATTGTACTTTAAATGAGGCTTACAAAATCATCAAAAGGTATTGAATCCAGATTCATAAAAATGTACTAGCCCACTTACGTATTTACTGACCCATTTTATATTTGGCCCGTCATTGCATAGTGATCTCATCTGCTGCTATATTAATATGAGAGACAACAATAGCTTAAACAAGATAAAACAGTAACTCATTTTAAAAGCTATTCTGGTTTATTGCATGAAAGAAACAATCTTACCTGCCACAGTGTCTAGGTATGCAGCTGCTTGCAATACAATTTTAAACAAGCAATCAAAAAATAATGGATATATGTCTATCAACATAACATTTCAAAGAACCAGGAAGACACAACCAAGTTTATTTGGTGGGCATCTCACAATGAGGTAATACATACCTCATTGTGCCTATAATATTTTAGAAGCTCCACTTGCATGCCAAGAGTCATCAAGATGTTAAGGTGCACATCTATTTTTATTCACATCTCAGTTTCCAATTAGAGGCAATTTGGTTGGGGGCCCATAAGTTAAAAATAGTCATCTCTAATGATGCTTGCAAACCCATTAGGAATATTTCCTCCCCTAAAAACCCTGCAATTTTGTTTTCACAATTTTTCAGTAACATACTTGATTCCTAGTTTCCCCACTCCCATCACTTTCTGTCCTTATAAAAAATCCATATTTTGACTATCCCTGATACAGATATCAGTTGTGCATTAACCCCCCTGGGCTGCATTGTTTTCTGCTCTCACTACTGCCAGTCTAGCAACCCACTGATAAAGCCTCTTATAATCTGCCTTTTGGAAATCACTATAGAACTAGAATGGGCAATATCTACTGCATTTGCAAAGCTGTTTTAGAAATTTTGGTTTCAAGTTATATAAATCAATAGAAGACATTATATTCAAGTTTTTTTAAACTAAAAAATGCTTTGAACAGTATGCCAGATCTCTAAGTAAAAGGAGCTAGAGAGTAGACACTAATTTTTTAAAAAAGCAGAGACACAAATTGCACCGTTTTGTACAGACAAATTAATTTTGTCCTAATGTCAACTCTAGTCTCACAGGTTCTAGAAGTAATAAAAATAACTTGCAAAAGCTGTTTACCAGAGGTAAATGTGGGATTAATGTACACACTACAAGCAACAATACTCCCCCTGCAAAAAAATGTTTTACTAATGGGGGGGTGGGGCAGCAATTTTCTACCTCCACCAGCTGCCTTAATACCCTTGAGTTCAAATAATGTCATTGAAATATAGCAAAAACTGGCAATGACAAAGCATTGCTGAGTGTGAAAAAATGATGATTGACTTCATAACCATTCTAAGCCAACGGTTTACAAAACTGTAACCCAGAGTTCCTTGGAAGCTTATCAGAGGTCAAATAATGGCAACTTCCTTGAATGACAACTTGTCTGCAACAACGCATCTTCTCCTCCAAAATACAACGTAGTTGCAAGTGAACAAAAGCACAATTCTCTGACATACTCTCATTGCAAACAGGTAGTGAGGAGGTCCAACAGGTCGGGTCAGTACCCTATTGTAATCCTCTACATTCTACAACATTCCAAGGTCAGCAAGCTAGCAAGCTGGTCAGACAACAGCCTGGTAGCACCTTGGTGTGCAGAATTCAGCAGAGGAAGCAGGCTAGGCTGTGAGGCAGAAGCTGGCCTAAACTTACCCAGTCAACTTGATGGTTGAGGATTGGAACTATGTTATCCAAAATCCTAGTCAGACACTCTAACCAATACACCATACTGTACTAGTTTTTTTTAAAAATGTAAAATGTGCAGGGATTTTATGAGAAATGTTTAAGGGTTCCCTTAAGGAAGTTTGAAACCCCCTGATCTAATTATCTTTCACATAGTACATATAGAACTTGTTTATCTGTGGAAGTTATACAGGCAACACAACAACAAAGGTCATCAGGGGGCTCATAAAATAATAAAATACAGAAAACAAATTTCAGCATAAAACAGTCAGCAATCCAGTTTTACAGCATAACTAAAAATACAGAAAAGATAGGCAGTGGATTTAAAAGTGAATACTGCAGGTTTTTAAAGGCCTGAAATCATCATCATCATCAGGTGCCAAAATGACCATAAAGGAATCAGCAGTCAAGCCTCTCTATGCAGGTGTTCCACAACAAAAAGCTACCTGACTCATATAATTTGGTGGAGGCACCTGGAACAGGAGCTCTGAATAATATCTCAAAGTCTGAGTAGAAATATATGAGAGGATTATCTTTCAGTTACCCTCATCCTAAGCCAATAAGGGCTTTAAAGGTCAAAAACAGCCCTTTGAATTGGGTTCAGAAATAGACTGGAAGCCAGTGCAACTGATAAAGCATTGATACAATACACCAAATCAACCAGACCCAGTTAAAAATCTTCCAGCCTTATTTTTTGATGCCATTTTCAAAGGCATTCCAATATAAAATAGACTGTTTAATTTGAATGAGAGGTAACTGTGGTCATGCCATCTACATCCAGAAAGGGTCATAGCTGGTATATTAGCCACAGGAAATAAAAGGTGCATAGAGTGACAGAGGCCACTTGGGTCTCAAGTGATAATGCTAGATCAGTAAGCAATCCTTTCCAGAAAAGGTTAACATCACTCACTTGGGTGGATGAACCATCCACCAGGGGTAGACCAAGTTTCACCTTATAAGCCCTCATCCTAACTGTTACTGCACACACTCTGCAGTTCAAGAGACCTAGAACCTCACCTAAATTTGATGTGGAAAAAGATATAAAACTGGCTCTCAGTGGTGGTGCCTCAAACCAAATCTCGGGATGAACTCTTCCAACTGTTTTATGCATTGTTACACAGTTAGAAGAGTAGAGAATCGTAGGGCATCCCAAAGCCTAACTGCCAAGAAGTCAAGAAATGGTCCCCAGCACCAACTTCTGGAATCAGTTATCCAAGTAGTAGCAGAATCACCACCAACGCACCTTGAACATCCAGCTCAACTAGTCTACTGATAATTCCATGGGCAATGCTATTGAAAGCTACCCAGAGATCCAAGATAATAAATACTATTGTTATTGTTAATATTTTCCCTCTCCCCCCCAATTTATATCCTACCCTGCTTCCCAAAGAAGCCCAGGGCAGCAAACACATCAATATAATTACAAACACTAAGTAAAAACATTCCAAAATATTGTACCCTCCCCATCATTCATTCCCAGCAAGATCACCCCACAGGGCAGCCAAGGCAGCTTTTATCCCACAACCAGCCCTGCAGGACAACTGAAATTGATTCAGAAAAATCCATTGGTATCTTAACTGGGAGCTACATCATTTTTTCTTCCATACAAGTTTCATTTACTACCACAAACTAATTATCCTCATCTAAATTTCTCATCCCTGAAAAATTTATCCTGGCATATTATCCATAACGAACAAAAAAAATCTTTCTAGTGGCCAGAGGCATCTAGAATTCAGGTTTCCTGATTCTGGCAAATGTCTAGCTGACATTTGATGACTAAGAGAAAGGCCATGTTTTCTTTGCTCTTTGCAGAAGCAATGAAAAGTGTCATATCATAGTAACTCTAGCTAGGCAGAATTATATAAAACTTTTCAAGAACACTCTTGACATAAGCCTTGCAGCAGAAGCCTTATTTAGATGCTATGGCCAGATTTTATGTAGAAAGTTGCACTGTACTATATTACACTAACTTTTACCCACAGAAAACCCATTGAAATGGCAAACTAACTTACTTTCAATGGATCTATTCTCCATATGTTAGTGGAATACAACCCCAATATATTTTACACAGATTCCCTTTTAATAAGTAGGTGCAGTACATTTATCAGCCACGTGTATGTATCAAATTGTTTTGTTTTGTTTTTAAATTACTTACTCCCTTTCTCAGTTTAATCCCAACAACCTGCAATGTTGATTAGACTGAGAGGCAGTGACTGGCCCAAGGTCACCCAGTGAGCTTCATGGTTGAGTGGTGATTTGAACCCTGGACCAGACAGTCTAATCACTTAACCACACTAGTTCTTAATAATGTTTACATTCTTATCTCTTCACCCAGAAATTGCATAAATGCTGAGAAAGTCATTAAAAACAAAAATTAACCCTCTCTCAGTATTTTCACATTAATGACTACTACGGTGTAATATTTTAAGAGAAATAAGGGAACCTGTGACTCTCCAACTGTTGTTGGAACTCCCATCAGCCCCAGCCAACATGATCAGTGATCAAGGATCATGGCAGTTGCAGCCTGAAACTATTGGGGGGGGGGGGCACAGATTATATGGCCCAGCCTTATAAAGTCAATTTCAAGTCATAAACTATTATTTCCTCAAACCATTACATGTATATCACCTGAAGTGACAGCTTTAATTGGTCTCAAAGCAGCAGGTGAATTGACAGACACAAAGGTGAGAGGTGAGAAGTACTTGACAAGATTCAACCAGTTTTTTTGAGACACAATGAAATTCTATGTAAACTACATTGTAAAAGTGATGAGTTTTTTGGTGTGATTGAATGAGGTGCCCTAATGTCAGAGTGGTAAAGAGTAGAAGCATCTGTGGATACCATTAGGAATGTAGGAAGCTGCTTTACACCAAGTCAGACCATTGGTTTATTTGACTTTATGATGCATATACTGACTGAAAGCATCTCTCCAGGGTTTCAGGCAGGAGATGCCAGAGCTGAAGCTAAGGCCTTCTGCATGCAAAGCATGTGCTCTCTTACTCAGCTATGGTTCATTCATCTGAGGTACTCTGATTCAGAAGAGATACAGAAGGGTCTAGGAATGGAGGGTAGAAACTGGGTCTATGAAAACAGGAGATAAGGCAGCAAGCTAGTGGGAACCAGTAGGGTTTGGGAGATTAACTCCTCCATCTGGCCTCTTCTTCAGTCCTCTGAAGTGTCCTGAGAAGACAGAAAGGAGAACTGCATTTGACCTGGAGCTGCAAATAGAGGCATAGCTAGGGGGCAGGGTACACTGGTCGCCACACATCAGAGGGTGGCACTTACTGTAGGGCCCGCAGCACGCCCGAGCCACACATCTCTCCTGGGAGTGACGCAGTGGCTCGGGCACCTGCCAGCTCTGCGCTGCCCAAAATGGCAACATGGAGCTTGTGTCTGCCTGATGCCTCCCCCTCAGCCACCCTACAGCTGAGGGGGATGCGGCGGACAGACTCATTGTAGGCTCCGTGGCGCACCCTGCCCTGGCACCCGAGCGGCTAGCTATGCAGCTGGCTGCAGAGTTGAGAAACTGCACTTCATTTTGAAATAGCCAGCTTGACAGTTGACTGCATGCATACCTCTAGTAAGCACTTAACATCAGTATTTTCCCAGGTAGATGGGGGGGGGGGGAATACAATCCTAGATTAATAGTATAATCCTATGTACTCAGAAGAAAGTGCCATTGACATCAGTGGGGCTAGCTTCCAGGTATGTTTGTCTGGAACTGCAGCTTTGGATGTTTCGCACCACAAACTTAGTACTCTAACAACATTACTGAACTTAACCCTAGGCCCCTACATCATGGGCTGATCCCTGTTCCCACTGTCATGGAACACAGTCCTGTTACAAAAGGAGCTCATTTTTCAAGAAGCTGTTTGAGATGCACAGCCTTGCAAGCCAACCTATATGCCAAGGTTAGCCACTGTGGTGTACTCCAGAAGATGTGGGGATATAGTTTCCATCATACTTGACCACTGTACCTGCTGGCCAGGGCTAATGGGAGTTGTTTAGCCCAACAACATCTGAAGGACACCATGATGGTTACCCCTGATATAGCCATTTTGGCCTACAAGTCATAGAGGCAAAATATGTGTCAACCACTATTAATAGTAAATGGGTGTTTTCTAATTAGGAAGGCACAGAGGCAACTCGAAGGTAAAGGTAAAGGTAAAGGGGCCCCTGACCATTAGGTCCAGTCGTGGACGACTCTGGGGTTGCGGCGCTCATCTCGCTTTATTGGCCGAGGGAGCCGGTGTACAGCTTCCGGGTCATGTGGCCAGCATGACTAAGCCGCTTCTGGCGAACCAGAGCAGTGCACAGAAATGCCGTTTACCTTCCCGCCAGAGCGGTACCTATTTATCTAATTGCACTTTGACGTGCTTTCGAACTGCTAGGTTGGCAGGAGCAGGGACCAAGCAATGGGAGCTCACCCCATCATGAGGATTCGAACCGCCGACCTTTTGATTGGCAAGTCCTAGGCTCTATGGTTTAACCCACAGCGCCACCCGCGTCCCTCATGAGGCAACTCTACCTGACTGCAAAGTACCAAAACATGTTTTAACTTTGATGGCACAAATAATTATGCTGCTGGATACCATAGGGCTGCTCAGTAGCCCAAAGACAGTGGGTATGTTTGCATGTCATGCTAAACCAAAAGTGAGAAACCTGAGGCTCTCCAGATGTTGTAGGACTCCAACTCCCATCAGACCCAACCAGCATAACCAATAGTCAGGGATAATGGGTGTTGTAGACCAGCAACACTTGAAAGGTGTGAAGAGCTACACATGCCTAAAATATGAGAGCACACTGACAAATTCAGGCAGGATGTCACTTCAGCCTGGAGAAGACACATCCAAAATGGTCCATTCCTCTCAAGTGAAAAGTGTGCATAATCAGGAATAAGCTGTTGAATACAAACATTTATTACTGAAGCTTCTCTTTAGAAGGCCTAATATTTTCAAGAGAGATTAAAAAAACAAAAGGTGAGAAGAATCACCTCATGGATTAAAAAAGAATCTATTAGTCTAAAATATATACTGTGATTACTAGTGAACCTGTTTCTATTCAAGCTAAATAATTTCAGTGCAAAGCCTATTTTATAAATGGATAATTAAACCTTCCTTAATGGGAACTTAAAATAATGATGCTATCTAAGGAATGAAATTCCCAGGACAGTATATGTCAATTCATATACATAACACACTATGGCTCTTGACTGTTCAAATAAGCAGATTCTGTTAGTACAGAAGAAGCAGAGCAGCAAAAAAGCATTACAAGAGCATTAAGTCATCCTGTTTCATCAGTGTTTTGCTACCCAATTAGCTACTTCAAACATAACAGGAAAATCTCTCTTTGAAAACCAGCAAATATCTGAAAAAACAACATAACTATTGAAGAGGCACAAGAACATCAAAGTGATCAGAGGCACAGTACCTGCTGAAATCAGCTTCTGGGTGCAGAACCAGGGAATCTACATTCCATTTTAGGTACAATAGGGGTGTCTGGAGATGCCTGCTCTTCTAGCCCTTTCTAGCTCTTGCTTCCAAGTACGTGCATGTACTCAATTTCTGTTTTGATTTTTTAAAAGGTTCATATAATTCTGGTCATCTCTTTCTCTTTTTCCCTGTTCCTTATTAAACCAGCAAGCTTTGCTCACTTGTTCCATGAGCTCCGGACGAGATGTTCCCCACTGAATATTTGGACAAGAAAGCAGGAAGCCTGCCTTCTTACAGGAGCCCAAAGGAGCATTCCAACAACACAGACCTAATTGCTGGGGAAATGGAGAGGGGAGAGGGAGAAAAACTTCGCACTTTCAGGGTTTGGGGGCGTACATTGGTGTGGAGAGAAATGAGATAAAAGAAGTGGCTATCAACAGCCCACCAAACTAAAAATACATATTTGCTTAAAAGAAACATGTAAAATGCTATGGCTGCGGAAGGAGAGAGGTTTCCAAGGGATCAAAACAAGTATTTCTCTGCTTCTCTCCAAAGCTTCTGCAAAGTAAACCAAATCGCACACACCATGAAAGTAAAAGAATTTACACAGAAAGGAAATGCATGTACTTAGTGCCAAATAGCAAGAGCCAAGGCACACGCAAGCAGCATGAAGCAGGCAGAGGGGATAACCAGGCTTGCTGGGAAAGAGAAGAAAATTGGCTTAATATCTTCAACCACTTAAAAAATGCCCAGGGATCAAAACTGCAAAAAATAAAACAAAAAATAAGGTACACTCCTGAGCTGTGAAATCTACATCAACTGGAATGCTTTGGAATGAGACACAAGCTATTAAAATAAACAATATGGGGCATCTATAATAGTACAGTACTTGCTTTTTCAGAGTCCTGGATTTTAGCCTTGCAGCTACATGATTTCCAATTGGTAAGATCTCTCCTCCTCCCCCCACTCCCCCCCCCCCAAATGCTGGGTGAGGAGGACAGATATCTTCTGTGGGAGGGGAAAAAATGAAAAGTTTTTTTAAGCCTTTGTTAGATTTCAACAGCTGGGCAATGACTAGAAGCACAGAGGGACATGGCATGGCTTTGGGAAAACAGCAAGCAGGGTGAGGGAAGAGAGTGGAACAGAGACCATGGAAGTCCAACATGTTTGACTGCTGTTAATGCCCCAGGGACCTAACAGAAATCTGGCTAAAGGGTTGGGGACGGGGGTGATCTGGCAAGCAAAATACCGGTACATCAAGTGCACATCTAGTGGAGACTCCATGAGATATGATGCCCTGCTGGGCACCCTGCCAAAGATGCTAATAGTCAAATGTGGGCTGGGAAATAATGACTTTGTGACATTCTCCATCTCTCTCCTCCACATATAGGCTCAGAAAAGCAGGATTGTGCCACTTAGGCCATAGTCACCAGGTTCCAACCCGTGAACATATTGCCCTCACACTGCCACCTCAATGAATTCAGCTGCTACACCATTAAGACACTCTGCTTTTAACTCACCTACTGACAAAACTTAAATGAGGAGTGGAGACTTTCAGGCCCACAGGCAGAATGTGGCCCTCCAAGGCTCTTCCCCTGGCCCTGCTTTCCACCTTTTTCTTTCAGCCTGGCTGGAGCATTTTATTTACTTACTTTTACATTTCTGTTCCAACTTCCCTCCAAGGAGCTCAAGGTTATACACACAGTTCTCCTCCCTATTTAATCCTAACAACAACCTTGCGAGGTAGGTTAGGGCTGAGAGTCGGTGACTGTCCCAGGGTCACCCAGTGAGCTTCATGGCTGTGTGGAGATCTGAACCCTGGTATCCCGAGTACAACACTCTAACCACTACACCGCACTGGCTCTTGAACTCTCGATAACGCCTCTTGCTTCCATGGATGGAGGATAAACAGAAGTGTTCAAGCATGTGTAGCAAGCTGGCCTGCTGTACCGAGGGAAAAATTCACATTCTTTGCTCAGCTCACATTTCCCTCGAGGCTTGCCAACCAGTGGCATGTGCCCCCCCCCCCCAAAAAAGCCTTGGGCTTTAAAAGCTTCCCCACCCCAAGGCTCTGCCCCATAATTTATTTTGCGTTAACAGGTCTGCCGAAACGCGCAAAAAGTACTGGAAGAGGACAGTGCCTCTGAACATGCCCAGAACGCTTTCCACCACAAAGGAACCAGGGACCTCCTCTTGAATCACGAAAAACGCAAACTCCAGCCTTGGCATCTCTACCTCCAAGCTCATACCTTCTGCTTTCAACCAAGAGAAATCAGTATATTCTGCCTTGAGCGAGAGACCAAAGACGCCTCTGACCATGTACAGAGCGCTTTTCCCTCGCGGCTGATGATACGGATCTCATATTATACCCTCGGTAATCACCGGCCAGCCAAGAGAGGGGTGGGGGGAGAGACAAGTTTCAGGAAAGCTGAATTTACAACCGATTTTAAAAGGCAAAAAAGGCGGAGGGGACAGTAGCACCATCCCTCCCGCCGGGATGAGCGTTCATGGAAGCGGCAAAGCCTATTCTCGCTTTCCCTCAGGCGGGTCTGGGGACGTGCAGACTGAAGGGACGGCAACATACCCGTTGGCACCACAGACTCCTCCTCCTGCTGCATCTCCTACCGACTGAGGAAGAATTCACGGGGGGCGACACCCACCGCCTCCTTTCTCCATCCCGCCCGCTCCAGCCGTGTTGGCGGCGGCGGCAACAACAGCTTTGCGGGCATGAGGAGAAAACGAGGGGAAGGGAAAGAGGCGCGCGCGGCCCAGCCCCCCTCGCTCCTCGGCCCGCCCTCAGGCCCGCCCAGCGCGAGGCAGGGGGCGGTTTGGGCGGGAAACTCTTCTGAGGAAAAGCTGCCGCGGCTGCCGTCCTAATTTGGAAGAAGCAGAAACACCCCGCGAGTGAGCGCGAGGTGGGCTTCCAAGTAAGCATGCGCGGAGCTGGGGGGGGGGATTTGAGGCTGCCGTTCTACGCATAGGAGAAAGCTCAGCTGAACTCCCTGGGGGGGGGGGGGGGAGCGCACAAACTGTGGCTGTGTATATGGCGCGGGGTGGGGGAACAGCGGAGCAGCTGTGCTTAATTGTTATTAATAACGCGGGGCTGCAGTCTTAAAAGCTGCCTTTGCTGCGGTTGGGTGTAAGCTCCCCCTGAACTCCGTGGAGCCCTGGCTTCTGGGAAGGCAGAAATAGGATTGCAATAACAACAGGGCCAAGGCGGGAAGGCAAGATTCAAAGGGATGCTCTTGGGCATATTAAATACTGCACTGCGAAGTGCGCATGCAGGAAGGATGGTGAGACCTCAAGTGAAGTTCTTGTCTCAGCTGATTAAAGGCACTCATTTGGAAAGAGGTGGCCTTTGGTTGAAATGAGGAGAGTGCCCAAAATCTGAACAGTGGACTAATTCAGCTAAATTCATTGTTACTATTTTAATTTATATCCCAACCTTTCTCCCAAAGGAGCCTATGAAGCAAGGGATATCCAGCACATACCCCTCTACATCTTGCTGAACTCTAGCTCCCATCTTCCCTGGCCATTAGCTGTGCTGGCTTCTTGTGAGATTTAGAGTCCAGTAACATCTGGAATGGCTACTTCTGTGTGATGTATTAAGATACAAATATAAGTTTATGATGGGCAGTTGCCATCATAAGATAACTGGTGTTTGTTGGTCCTTTTCATTCTTATTCTAACCATGTTTATTCAGAGCAGAAATGAGGATGTCCAGATGTCCAGACTACAGCTCCCTTCATCCCTGACCAAGTCCCATCAGTTCCAGATAGCATATTCAGTGGAGTCTAACATCATCCAGTGGTCACCAGATTCTTCATATCCAATTCAGACATTAGTCTGAGGCCAATGGAACTTATGTGTTTCCAGCTAAATGGGCTTAAGAAGCAACCATGGAATTATACTTGATTGAAAATTGTGGGTAGTAGCTATCTGAATTAACTGGTAGCAAATTCAATAACATGTGTTTATTATGTATTTTCCCATTGGATTGCATTGACCTATGAATACATGAGAAACAGATTTGTCTTCTCCCCTGCCTATCCCCCCTTTAGGGCAACAGCACTGCAGAGTCACTGTTCTCATATTTTAAGAGACTACATTTAGTCTCTTCTAATATGTAATCAATTTGTAATTGTCTAGGTCATTTTGAGTTTTAATCCAATCCTCTTGCAGCAGCTCTTAACTTTGCTTCTTATGCAAGCCTGAGGGGGAGGAGCAAAATTCAGCAGATCAGGTAGAGAGGCTGCTTGTTACCTTTGCTTCACCTGATCTATTAACCACGCTCTTCATCCTACTGCATATCTCTTGCATAATGCATTAGCAAATCATAAGTCTTTGCAAGATCAAGCCCAAAGAGTTTCTGCGTGGCCTGTTGTTCCAGTTTGACTTAATTGATGAAAAAACACCTTTCTTTAAATGGGTGTAACTTTGCATGTGAAGAGCCCTTCAGCAAAGTAATCATAATAATAATAAGGTACAAAATAAACTTGGACTGAAGAGGGAGTACAATGAATACAGTTCTTAATGCAACCATAAGCAGCCCACAGAGTTACCATAGATTCCACTTATGTCATTAAATGTAACCTTACTATGCAATGGGCCTGTGATGGTAGACTGAAGCTGCACACTGAATTCTTACCCTGTTAGCCATGATACTTAAGAACAGCATAAGAAATAATATCCCAATAAGGACCATGATACAGGAGTGAATATAACCAAATAAAAAAATGCCCATTTTATTATTCCTGGCTTCTTAGCAGCTAACTTTTTATGTTTCAACAGCAAAAGAGGATATACAATATTTGCAAAAGATGGGTAAAGTGGTGTTGGTGGTAGTTTAAATATTAAATATTAAACTACCTTAAATAACTCCCATTTTCAGTGCTCTACAAATATTGAAAATATCATGTATCTAATAAGACAAATATTAACACACAGGCTTGATACTGTTGGGAATGCTGATATCCTCATAATAGCAGTAAGATGAAAGAAAAACTAGCATTCAACGTCCATATATTTAATATACGATTCTCCCATTTTATAAATTAAAGTGTTTGCAAATACTTAATATTAATATTTAATTGGTATTTTTCTGTAAACAAACGTGTATGTATGCAGCAAAACCAATATTGCTAATAAACATTTATGTAAATAATTAACTACATGTTACCAATAATCAGACTTTGATTTTTAAGGCTTTAAGCGGTTTTTTTTTTAATGTTGCCCAGAGCCTTGTGGGCTCGACCTCCCTGGCATAGAACATTCAGTGTGTGATTTAAGGAACTGAGAGACTCTGAATGGTTGGCAGTTCTAATAAATGGGAGTGAGGAAGACCATTGAGATTTGACAGCTGAGAGGAAAAGTAGTTCTGAATGAGTTTTCTCCTGACCTCAGACGACTTCCGTTCGACTTCCAAAACATTCAGAAACCAAAGCGTGGCTTCTGATTAGCTGCAGGAAGCTCCTTCAGCCAATCGGAAGCCCCGGAAACCCCTTCAAATTTTCGGCTTCCAAAAATAGTTTGCAAACCACAACAGCCACTTTCAGGTTTGCGGCCTTTGGGAGCCAAAACATTTGAGAACTAAGCTGTTCGAAAACCAAGGTACGACTGTATTTTATTTCTCCTCAAGTTACCCCCTTTTTTCAGCTTATCCAGTAAATAATTGTTATGAGTTGGAGGGGGCAGATCCCCCTAAATTCTTAAATTGAGTAAATATTATAATTTGGCTAATATTTGGAGTATTAAAGGAAGATGCCAGGTGCAGTGTAGAAATACAGGCTATACCGGGTTTTCCTGTTCAAGAGATGGCTAATAGAGGGGCCATTAAGGAACAAAGGGATCAGAGTACTGGGCCATTAAGAGCGACTGACAATGCAAATGCTGTCCTTCTGTGAACAGAGACAGTAGAATTGGGAGGGGGAGGTTGTCAGGGTTACAGGGGTGTGATGTCACCACAGGAAAAAAATATCCTTTTGCAGAAGGTTTTTGAAAAAGTGAGAAGTAAGGACAGGCAGCACTCATTGCAGGCTGGCTGGGAGGTGCTGCACCCAGAGAGTGGGGAGCATGACTGTCTTCTGCTCTGGGTCCAAGCTTGCTAAAGCCATGAGAGAAGCCAGAAGAGACTATCTATGGATGGAATGTTCTGCAATACAGTGGTACCTCGGGTTAAGAACTTAATTCGTTCCGGAGGTCCGTACTTAACCTGAAACTGTTCTTAACCTGAAGCACCACTTTAGCTAATGGGGCCTCCTGCTGCTGCTGCTGCTGCTGCGCTGCCGGAGCACGATTTCTGTTCTCATCCTGAAGCAAAGTTCTTAACTCGAGGTACTATTTCTGGGTTAGCGGAATCTGTAACCTGAAGCGTATGTAACCTGAAGCATATGTAACCCGAGGTACCACTGTACTTCCATCAAGGTTCAAGGATATATATGTGTAAATAAAATCATATATCTTAAAGACACTACAGTCCCTGCTGTGCCTCAGTTTCACATTGGAAACACAACCCGGGGTAAGCACCACACACACACGAATCTTGCTACCACTCGGCAGAGAATGGGGTTGGCATGTAACAATATTATCAGTTTCTTTACTCTCCGGACGACATCTGTATTATTTGACTCTGCTGACAGGACTGCACTCCTCCGAAGGCTTATAACTTCCAGATAGAAAATCTGCCGTGTTTTCTTGTGCTTGGATATGAGATGAGGCATCGTGTTGCACATGAGAGTTAATAAATCTTGCCATGACTCCCTGTGTAGGTGGTTATGCAATGAAATGGGAGCAGCTTTTTTATGAAGGGCTTGGTAGGAGTGGCACAGGTTATAAGTGTGCCAATGAGTCGTCCCCAACCAGCACAACAACCACACTCAGTATGGCAAAAAGAAAAGGAAAACATATGAGCAAAATTAGCATGTTGTGATTAAAAAAAAATCCACAACATACATCAGCAATATGAAAATATTCTCTGTATAATCATACTGAAGAAAAAGTGGGTGTTTGGAAATGTTTTTTAAAAAATCAAAAGGGGGCAGAGGAATCCAACGAAATTTCAAAACTGATGGGGCAAACAAATTGTATGTAGTGAATCTGAAAGCTAAAACACTCCAAGTCATTCTCTGAATCCAAAAGAAACCTTGTGGCCAAGAGCAACAGAATCAAACAGGAGGAACTAGAAATCTCTCTTACCCTTCGGGCACTGGCTCCATGGGGTGCCATGAACACTTCTGTAAACTTAGCATGAGACGTACATTCAGGAGGGCAAATAAAAAAAATGCTTCAGTCTCACTGATGTTAAAAGCAAGTCAGCATTTTTCAAAGTAAATTAGTAATTAGTCACGACTTTGGTGTTCACTGCCACAAATGAGTGAAGGGAGTTTCCATTGCTGATAGCAATCTGACCTCAGTAATAAATGTTGACAGGATCAAAATATGGGCCAGGTTAACTGAGTCATTCCCAAAGGTGACTCAAAACATGGGTTACAGGAGGACTGGTGCTGGGTTTCTACAATACACAGATGGGGTGGGACTGTTAGTAAAGGACAACTGTATTTTGGAATATAGACCCTTAAATCACTGGTCCACCTAGCTTAGCACTGTCTACACTGATTGGCAGCAGCCTCCATGGTTTCAGCCAGGGGCCTCTCCCAGCCCTAACTGGAGATGCCAGGAATTAAACCAGGGCTTTCTGCTTGAAGACAGAAGTGAAAGAGAAATCCAAAACAGCTGATGTGCCACTTTGGGAGGAAATATTGGGCTATATTACCCTAATCTCTCTTTGAAACATCCTTATCGAAAACCTCCCAGATGTTTGGTATTAGAAAAATCTGGCCTACATATGTACTTTTAAAGTATCAGACTTGAAAGTTGTTCTGTTTTTTAATGAAGAAAATCACATAGTCTGATGCAATACTTGGGAAAGTAATCTATGATATATACACAAAATATGATGCCATTTATGACTAATCCACATATTTGTCGACTATGTAATTAGCATAAGCATAAGAGATTAAAGGCATCCAAGGACAGTGCAAGAAAATTGCTTGCACTCTAGTTTTCTCTCCTTTTCTTGAGACCTGTGCTTGCTACTGAAACAACCTTTCGCAGCCAGTTTTTTAAAAAGATAACCAGCAGCACTGGAGCAGCTGAAACCAAAGCCACATTAATGATGTTCAGATTATGAAAACGAAAGTTATAGTTTATATTAATCCTAGTGGTGCAGCAATAAAATTGCTAGCACATTTGCAAAGCCAAGCAGGGTCTGGTATGGTTTCAAATTGGATGGGGAGCCGTGTGTTGAGATTCCTGCATTGCAAGGGGTTGGATTATACCCCCCCCATGGGGTCCCTTCCAACACTCTGTTTCTGTTATTCTAATCTGTATGCAAATGGGACAAAACTGAGTAAAAAGCCTTACCACTGCACACCGTAGAAAGGGTTGTAGTGCTATTCTTGACTCGTGGACTCATTAATATCATCTGTGGTTGGTTGGTTGGTTGGTTGGTTGCTTGTTTCTTTATATTCCACCTTTCAGGGGTGGGGATGTCCTCAAATGGAGCAGAGTGTTCTTCTTTCTAGAAGGGAAGCAAGTTCCTTGCAGTTGCTCCTTCTTTGGTCGATGGATGGGGCCATGCTGATCTTCCTTTGCCCAGAGGTTGATGGCCCCCAACTTGGCTAGCTTTAGAAGAGGATTAGACAATTTCATGGACGACAAGGCTATCAATGGCTTCTAGCCACAATGACTGCTTTGCCTCCACCGTCAGCTTAATAAAAAAAACACAACCTAGCCGTTTCATAATTGTATAAAATGTTATGAAATGGCTATTTTAAGCAAGCTTACCTGATGCTGTTGAAATAAGTGAAATCACTTTAAACAGTGGTTTAAATCCTTTAAACACTTCTCTCAAAGAATACTGGGAAGTGTAGTTTGTTAAGGGAGCTCACAGAGCTACAGTGGACAGAGTGGTTTAACAAGCAATCACTCTTCCCAGGCAACTGGGAATTGTAGCTTTCTGAGGGGAAGAGGGACCGCCTAACACTCAGCCCCCTTAACAGACTACAGTTTCCAGGCTTCTTTGTGGTGGGGAAGCCATTACTGTTTAAAGTGGTCTGATACTACTTTAAATGTATAGTGCAGATAGGGCCTTTGAGTGCTGCTCTTTTGTTGTTCCTAAACTCAAATCAGTCAGACTTTAGAGACCCTTCAAGTGTCCCTATTTTCCAGGGATAGTCCCTGATTCAGAGAAGCCATCTCGGCTTCTATTTTGATCCCAGAATGTCCCGCTTTTCCTTAGGATGTCCCTGTTTTCATCAGAGAAATGTTGGAGGGTATGGAGTTATCCGACCCCTCGAGCGGTCTGAAGGCAGCCCTGTGTAGGGAAGTTTTATTAATGTTTAATGTTTTATTGTGTTTTTATAAACGTTGGAAGCCGCTCAGAGTTGCTGGGGCAACCCAGTAAGAAGTGTGGGGTATAAACAGTATAATTATAATTATGGAATGGGATGTCCCAATTTTCATTGAGGAAGTGTAACAGGGTATGGACTTAGCATAGACCCATTGAAATTAATAGGCATTGGTTCTAATTCCAAATACATGTATTTTGGTTCTAGAAAAGGATTAAAACTTTTGTTGAATGGTCTCTTCATGGAGGCCTGCCTAAAATCAACCTTGATATAATAATAATAATAATAATAATAATAATAATAATAATAATAATAATTTATTATTTGTACCCTGCCCATCTGGGCGGCTTCCATAGAAACAAAAAATACAGTAAAATATCACAGATTAAAAACTTCCCTGAACAGGGCTGCCTGATATCTTTTCAATACCTGAAGACCTGTTAATTTACCCATGTTTTCCAGAAGGTCACCTGAGCATGCTTTAATGCTACTGACAGCATTTTACTAGCTCTGCTGGTTTTACTGTTTTGATATGTTTTACTACTGCTGTTTTAATAGTTCATCTTTGTTATGTTTTTAATTAAGCCATCTGTCCCTGAAGTTGTAAATCTAAAGGGTGGCATATACACGATTAAGTAAACCAATAAAACAAAACCAGCAAGCTTTCCTTGTAGACCAGACATGGCTTTGATATTTTGTTAAGACATAATTTGGAATTAGATTGAACTGAAGCTGCATAGGAATATATATATATATTTCTAATTGGTCAACATGAATGGTCCATAACAGCATAACTTTTTAAAATTGATGTGCATACACAATCAGGTATTCAGGGTATGAAACTGACAACAAAACCCTAGACCAGTTAGCTAAACACTTTCCCTGGTGCTGCTTTCAGCTAGGGTAGGCATGGTGTGGAGAAATTGGATAGGGAAATGCTCCCCCCGCCCATAACACTAAACTCCAACGAAGTGGAAGAGTAAGGCAGATAAAGTACAGTGGTGCCTCGCAAGACGAAATTAATCCGTTCCGCGAGAGTCTTCGTCTAGCGGTTTTTTCGTCTTGCGAAGCAAGCCCATTGACGGATTAGCGCTATTAGCGCTATCAGCTGTTTAGCGGCTATTAAAGGCTTAAAGGCTGTGGGGATTAGCTGCTAAGAGGCTATTAAAGGCTATTAAAGGCTTAGCAGATTAGATAAAGGGGGAAAAGCGAAAAAAATCTCAAGACTCGCAAGGTATTTTCGTCTTGCGAAGCAAGCCCATAGGGGAATTCGTCCTGCGAAGCAACTTCAAAACGGAAAACCCTTTCGTCTAGCGGTTTTTCCGTCTTGCGAGGCATTCGTCTTGCGGGGCACCACTGTACACGGCACATAGTTAAACTATGGCATTCACTCCCACAAGAAGTAGTGACAGCAACCATTAATGCTTAAAAAAAGCATTAGACAAATTCACGGAGGAAAAGGTTGCCAATGGCTACTAGCCATGATTGCCATTCTCTGTCTCCACTGAATGCCAGTTGCTGGGAATCTCAAGTGTACAGTGGACGCTCAGGTTGCAAACGTGATCCGTGCAGGAGGCACGTTCGCAACCCGCAGCGTTCGCAACCCACAGTGCCGTGTCTGTGCACGCGCGGGTTGCGATTCAGTACTTCTGCACATGCACAAAGCGCGATTTAGCGCTTCTGCACATGCGTGAGCGCTGAAACCTGGAAGTAACCCGTTCCGGTACTCCCGGGTTTGGCGCGGTGCACAACCCGGAAACACAGAACCTGAAGCGTCTGTAACCTGAGGTATGACTGTACTCAGGTCCAGGATGCTGGACTAACTGGGTCCTTGGCATGATCCAGCAGCAGACTCTTCTTATGTGTCTTTCAAAACACTCCTCTGTCTTCAGAGCGGCTATGAAAGGACAGCTGTATTTGAAAGATGCCTTTATAGGAGGGGAGGGAAACTTTTGGCCACCTGGACTAGTTATAAATAAGTAAGAAGGCAGGCAGGTGGGGGCTGGCTGAGGGGGAAGGCTGAGTTTGGTGTGGCAGTTCCCCACTTGCTCTAATGGACCATCCTCTGCTGGTTAGAGTCTCGCCATGCACAACATTAACAGCTTGATGCTAATGATGTGATAAACAGTTATGTATACAATTAAATCCCAATTGTTATCAAAATGGCAGCAGTGGGGAGGGGAGATTTCAAATTCAGAATGTCTGCCTTTCAAGCAAAACTGACCCCCCCCCATAAGTCTTATTTTACAAGGAAAGAAAGGGTGGTTTGTGGGGGTATGAAAATTACAAATAATGTGAAGGCTTTCAGCTGGAAATTACTGCTGGCAGCTTCCTGCCTTATCAAAACACCTCTGGGCATGCTTCCCATTTTGGAGCTCTCTGGCACCTTGTTATTTATTTTTGTTTCAGCAGCAAGAAGACAACAGGTGAAATGGTTTCTATTAGTTTTATTTGTGCATTAGCCCCTTTTCTGAAGAAAATGCAGGTTGATGGGTGGGGGAGAATAGACTTACAGTGGCAAGCCCTAATTGTGACGTAAGTATGTTCAATGTACCTTGTATATGGTCTTTAACCATCAATCAGTCTCCTTCTGCCTGTCTTCAGTGACAAAATGAAGAAACAATGGTGTTTTCAGGCTTCAGGCTTTTAGCATTAGCCAGTCATTGTACTTCTGCAACAAACTATATAGGCAGCAGTTTTTCACCAGTGCATCTTTGGGTGTTATGTCCACCATATCAGGCATAACGTAGTGGTGTGGGCAGAGGAGTAACAAAGCACCACAGCACGCCATTGTAGCAGCAAGTTAATTTTTTCATGTATATTTTAATTTGCATTAATACACTTTTTAATTTAGCCATTTTGTGTGAACACTTCAACCACAACAAATATAGGTTTCATTTTTGCCGACTTCTGTGTCAGGATTTTCACTGTTTGAAATATGGCAACCTTTCACCATGCAGAGGATAGTTACAAGCAGAGAAAATGCTAATGAACCAGTGTGCACGCCAGTATCTCCTATGGTATTCCTGAAAGTTATCAGAATATCCCCTACAACCCACCCACAAAAAAGCTAAAGAACATTTTGTCAGAAAACTTCAGAATTCTCTTCACCATTGCAGAAGACTCTGGGATTAGGGCTTCATGCACAGCATACTTTTAAAGCATCCTGCCCCACCCCTGCTAAGAATCCTGCCAACCATGATTTGTTAAGGGTGCTGGGAATTGTAGTGCTCTGAGGGGTAAACTACAGTTCCCACAATTCTTTAGGTGAAGTCTTGTGGTTTAATTGAATGGTATGTTTTCAACCATGCACCTAATGGTAGGGCTGGCACCAAGTATGAAGACTCACATGTTGCGCTAGTACCTGTTCCTGACACCTCTACCACAACATACTTTCTGAAAGCTCCTTTCTCATCTCATTGCCACATGGAGAAATCTGTCCCTTTCTCAGTAGTGAATCTGGAACAGAATATCGCACCCCCCCAAACAAGGTTGAAGTTGTCAATGCCATCCAAGAAACTCTTGCTAGAGCTATTTATATCGCTGAATCTTAAAAGTGTTTATAGTTATTTCTTCTGGGCACATGCTGTCCTTGATTTTAAAGGATAGTCTGATTTGTCTGGCATAAATCGGAGCTTAAGAAGGAGGCCTTTGAGCTGAAGGTCAGGGGGAATCTGCTGCAATTTGCTTGATGTGAAAAGAAAGCTTGTCAGATACCAGTGCATTTGTGTCTGTAATTTTAAAGAAAAGGCAAACTATTTTAAGGCGAGTGGAATGCATGCGTTACAATTTGAGCATAACACACTTTAACCACATCTTCCATGTAGAATTGTAGAGTTGGAAGGGACCCCGAGGGTCATCTAGTCCAACCTCCTGCAATGCAGGAATCCCAACTAAACATATGTCAGAATAACATTGCAGAGCTCTTTACAGCCCAGAGGGTAACAAAGAAATTGGTTGTTCCAATGCAGCAATAAATTAAAGTCACTAAGCAGCATATTTGTTCTGCTGGTGAAATATATTGCACCAGCTGAATGTTGCTGGGCAAGAGAATGCATGAGCAGGTTGCTGGTAACCTTGCTGCACAATAGACTGCACAATCTGTTGTACAATGAGCTTCCACTGGCACAGTTGTTTTGCTGGATCTGTCTGTTGTGCAACATTAAAACTCAACGGTCCACTAGTACAAGAGCCTGCACTCGCAGACAGAGAACCTTAGATGCAGCACAATATGCCCACCCTATTTTCCACTGGCAATCTCAAAGCTTGGTTTTCCTTACAATTGCTTAATTTTCATATAAATACATCTGCCACAGTTATAAGAACATAAAGCCCAGATGACCACACCAAAGGTCTAAGATTCTGTTTCCTGTTGTGACCTAGAGCTTCTGCTTGGCTATCACCGCAACCAAAAGCCTTGATACTTGTTGACACAAATGAACCCAATGAATTCAGTGTGGGTTATTTTCAAGTAAATGTCCATGTGATTGCAGTCTTAGTGCCTTGCTTTGCCGCAGAATTCCCCTTTGTATAATCTCTCATTCACTGGGATCCCAGTTCCAAGACTGCAGGGCAAGCTGTCTGAATTTCAAGTTTGTGTTTTAATTAAGAGGCCTTCTAAAGAGCGAACACATCTGATAGCATGTGTTAAAAATAGCTCAGATCAAAGAGCTGGCATGTCAGGCCCTGCGGCGGTGCCTTTTTGTTTGGCTTTGGGATTTTGTTATATTTAATTAATAAATGCAAAACAAAAAAATATGTCAGTGTGGTTGTATGATATGACTAAATGGGCTTGTCTACTCGTGACAGGCTTTGAGAACTGAGTGCACCAGATACATCCTTATACCTGCATTAACCACTGTACATTGCATGATAGCTGGGGCTGATGGAATTTGGGAGTCCAGCAATATCTGGACTGCCATAGGTTTCCCCTCCTGGTTCAGGTTAGGCAATTGGGGCTACATATCACACCATGATGCCACTTTAAATGCTACTCCCCCCCCCAAAAAAAAAAAATAAATTCTGGGAGCTGTAGTTTGTTAAAGGTGATGAGAGTTGTTAGGATACCCTATATTCCCTACACAGAGCTACAATTACCTGAGAGGAATTGATTGTTAAGATGCTGTGAATTGTCTCCACACCAAAAATACTGCCCAACAGGTTCCTATGCAACAGCTGAGCATGCTTCCAGGAGGACATGCATTAAGGAATGCAGGGGCAGCTTGAAAAACAAGAGTGGAGAACCTGACCTGCTAGAAGTTGCTGAACCAAAGCTCCCATCAGCTTTTAGCAAGCATAGCCAATGGTCAGGGATGATGGGACTTGCAGTTCAACATCTGGAAGGCCAAAAGTTCCCCACACCTAAAAAAAGGTTCCCCACCCCATTTGAGATTTAGGAACAAACCTTGACATGACCTTCGGGTATAGGGTGGTATAGAAATAAAGTAAATTAAATAAATAAATTTTTCACAATGAATCAATTTAAGAGAAAACTGTGCATATGACACACACACCCCAAACAGTCATGTAATGTTCCAAAATAGCTTGGGCAGTAGAGCATAAGACTCTTAATCTCAGGGTCATGGGTTTGAACCCCATGTTGGGGCAAAAGATTCCTGCATTGCTGGGGGTTGGACTTTGTGGCCTCTTCCAACCCTACAATTCTGATTCTAGATTCAATTATTCAACATGTTGGCAGTGTACAAACAAAACAGGAACATCTTCCCATATATGGTGGGCCTGTCCAGTGTTACAAGAAATATTGGTCTAACATAAGGAAGGCAATTGATGGAATCACAAAGACATCTTGTACATTTAGATCCTACTTTTATTGGCTTGTACAAGCAGATTTAACCAGAAGTTATAAAGAACTATTATCATACATGATTATTGCTGGAGGGATACTAGATGCAAAATACCGAAGATTAGATAAATGACCTACAATGGAAAAATGGGAACACAAAGTACATGAATATGCTATCTTAGCCTGAGTTGGCCCATTACAGAAGAATGATAGACTGCAGTGTGTCCAAGGCACTGTGAGTTGACTGTACACGGACCCTTTAAGAATAGTTCCAACTCCTCTCTTTCCTTATATAAGAAAGAAAAACCTGCTGAATAATTCTGCCAAGAAGCTTTATATAAAATTAGTTAAGCTAATTAAGTTACAAGCATGTTTGGAGCCTGAATGCAATAAGACAACACTGTAAGTATTTATTATGAAAACTGTGAGCCTTGATTGGACTGTAAAAAAAACCCACCCAAGAACCTTTTTTTTTTTTTAACGAGGCATAAAGAAATTATTATCCACCTTATGTCAGCTGCAAAATATTGGAGAACTCTGAATGCTGAATTGATGGTGGACTGGTACCAACAAATATGGAACTTAGCATCAATGGGGAAAATAGCCTACTGACTGTGGGCATATTGCAAGAATCAAAACATAGACAACTTTTCTACTATTTGGTTGCCCTTTACTAGTTATGCTGCAGTGCATGAGGTCCTGGTACTCATGGACAATTATGGAACAATATTTTGATGTGAAAAATATGATTGTTTGGTGCACTTCTTTCTGAACTGATACTTGTATTCATCCTTGATTGCCCTTTGCTGTGTTATCTTAAAAAAAAAACATTTTTAAAAACCTCTCTTGTACACTGTAGATCAGTGGCTTCCATTCTTCCCCCACCCCCACCCCCCATGGATAACTTGAAAATCGCTGGCAGTCTTGGTGGACAATGTAAATATGTTTTCTGCAAGTTATAGCAATTGTAACATGTTGTGTGCAAGGTGCTGTATGATTGTTAACTGTACAGTGGTACCTCAGGTTACATACGCTTCAGATTACATACTCCGCTAACCCAGAAATAGTGCTTCAGGTTAAGAACTTTGCTTCAGAACAATTTCAGAACAGAAATTGTGCTCTGGCGGCGCAGCGGCAGCGGGAGGCCCCATTAGCTAAAGTGGTGCTTCAGGTTAAGAACAGTTTCAGGTTAAGTATGGACCGCCAGAACAAATTAAGTACTTAACCTGAGGTACCACTGTACTTTCATTGCTTACTTTATATATATTGTATATTGTATTTTATCGTATTACAGTTTGAATTCTATATAATTCAAATTGTCATACAATAAAATACAAAATAAGAAATACAACAAAAATGAATAAAGATTAAATGTCTTAATTAGTATAGCCTTTGCTCCTCTCATTGAAAGTGCCTCCTCTTCTCATCACTATTGGCCTGTTCCGCGCATCTTCCGTGTGAACTGCTGGGTTCTAAGACTGGCAGAGCAGCCTCTGGACCCACCATTCTTCACAGACACACTGAAGAGCTCCTTAATGAAGGTCATGGACAACTATTTGGGAACCACTGTTGGAGATGTTGTATACGATTTATTGTAATTGGATGCTGTGTATACTTCATAAATTATATAACGATTTTTTAAAGTGTAGACATTGGAGGGACGAGTAGCAAATCAAAAAGCCAGATGTCCTTTAAGAAACAAAAATCCTCCCCACCCCCCATTGATCAGCAAACTCTTCTCTCTTTTTTTGCACAGAAGAGGATGGCTTGCTGTTTATCAAAACAGGGGTGGAAGGAGGCTCCAATCGTTGGCTGTTCCACAGCAGATGATTGATAAATCCCCCATGATAGGCTTTGCTAAGACAACAAGCACATAAATACCCAATTGAAATGGGGTTCTAGATATGCTGCAACAGCTGACAGCCATTAAACTCTCATTTGTTAGGCTGTGTCGGGCTCAGAGTGAGAATTCCTCCTTCCAGATGTGGAGCTGGATCTGAGCTTTGAGTCAGGTGTCATGCTACTCTGCTAATATATATGATCCCTCAGTGAATTGCCTCTTCCTGTGATACAGAAGCAACCCCAAGAGCATGACTTTCAGGTTGTGACAGACTGCATGCCAGAATAAGGCATTGATGCATCCTTTCTGTTGCAGCTGGAGGAGCAGAGCAGCTGCTCTGTGATCCTGTAGGAATATCATATCGGCTGAGAAGTCAGCAAATATTGCAAGACCCCAGTGGGGCCGCCAGCCTGTCAACTTTGCTGGTGAATCGTAACAGATGTTTAAGGAAATAGGCTCTCCAGAGCATTCCAACTTTTCATTGCCTTTGGGTCTTGAACTAATTTTTCTGCAGACTCCTTGATCTCTGTGCTAATCTGCTTTCCTCTTCCCTCCAAACAGGCATAGTTTCTCACTTCCTGACACCCACACACACAAAAATAGCACCTCCTTGGAATCAGGAAGGATCTGAATAAAGGGAGCATAGAAAGACCACCTGCCACTAGGTCAAAATTCACACTGCTGGCTTTTGAAGGAAGGTTGTTTTCAATGTGTCCCCTGCCTCCCACTCTTCCCTTCCTTCAGTGCAGCAGCTAGAGGCCAGAAAATGTGCTTTGCCCTTACTAGCACAGCTTATGTGAAAGTGGATCTGTGGGTTGATGGTAGTGACCCATAGTGTAACTGCATTCTGTATTTCCTGCCAGCCTCTTTTCTGACCATTCCTGCCAGTATTATTACTTTAAACAATTGAAGGGTTGTTCTATAGCAGGCATCCCCCAACTCGGCCCTCCGGATGTTTTTTGGGACTACAACTCCCATCATCCCTAGCTAACAGGACCAGTGGTCAGGGATGATGGGAATTGTAGTCCCAAAACATCTGGAGGGCCGAGTTGGGGGATGCCTGTTCTAGATCGTATTTGTGGGTGCCTTCCAGGCCTTTGATCCTGCATCCTGTGAGGTTAGAGAAGGCATTTTTACTACAGTGGTACCTTGGGTTACATACGCTTCAGGTTATATATGCTTCAGGTTACAGATTCTGCTAACCCAGAAATAGTACCTCGAGTTAAGAACTTTGCTTCAGGATGAGAACAGAAATCGTGCTCCGGTGGTGCGGCAGCAGCAGGAGGCCCCATTAGCTAAAGTGGTGCTTCAGGTTCAGAACCGTTTCAGGTTAAGAACGGACCTCCAGAACGAATTAAGTACTTAACCCGAGGTACCACCGTATTCTTTTTTATATTACTGTTCTCTTACTATTTTCAGCCTTGATTGCAGTTTTATTGCTTCCTTCTTAGGGCTGCTGCTGTTTGTTTAAAAATTCAGACCTATTGTTTTTAAATTTCTAACTTTTGTTAGCCACCTCTGCTTACTACCTTACTATAAGCTTGGATATAAATGTTATAAATTAATAAGTAGGCACACGTCTCCTCCTGTTCTTAGCTCTTATAGATGAAAATCAGCCTTTAATTTCTGCCATTAGTAAGCAATCAGCTTAACTAAGAATTCTCAGCCAGCATCCGTAGCATATTAATTTATCTTGTTACATTACCAAGGATGATTCAGACACATGGATTATTATATTAAAATATGACTACTTTGTGAGTATGAGTAAACACAGTTGGTATTAATATCTTTCATGGCCAAGCTAATGGTAATTCACTCATAAAATCTGAATATAATATTTGGACTTAATCAAAGCTATTACATAATTCCACATGAATACCCGGTGCTTTATTTCAACTGGAGGAAAATAATTTCATTGTTCTGCAACTGAGTTGCACCAGGATTGCCATACGTGCCATCATTAGGGTTGCCATACGTCTGGAATTTCCTGGACATAGCCGGAATACTGCAGTCGGAAGCAGTGTCTGGGCAGAAATTGCTGAAATGTCCGGGAAAATCCAAATATATAGCAACCAATGTCGGAAGTCTACATTTTGGTGAATTTCCTTAAAAATAGCTCAAAAACTTCTCATTTTTTTGAGATTTTGCAAAGAAAGCTCAACAACTTTGGCCAAAACGACAACAACCCTAACCATGATTATATTTTACATCCCCCCCCCCCTTTGCCACTGATTGTCAGGGAACAAACGGAGATACAAAGGGGGAAGAGACATAGTGTTTGGAGCTGGGCAAGAGAAGTATCAAATAGCTGCCTCTGTTCACTTGTAGATCAGCAGCTGTTGTGAACATCCCCCTAGGCAAGAGTGGAAGAAGCGCAGGAAAGAGAGGCCAAAACTTTTGGGTTCCGTCTGGAAAGTTGGGCTTAAAAGTGGGTGGATCTGGGAAAGTGAAAGATCATTACAGTAGGGTCACTTTGAAATACTTTTCATATTGTTATGGGTTTGTGGGTGCCCTGAATCCCCTGGGTTTCTGAGCACCCAGGTTCCTGGCTACTGGGGTTTAAACAGTGTTTGGGGAATTAAAGTGTGCTAACAGCAGGGGCAGGACGCGGGTGGTGCTGTGGGTTAAACCACAGAGCCTAGGGCTTGCCAATCAGAAGGTCGGTGGTTCGAATCCCCGCAACGGGGTGAGCTCCCGTTGCTCGGTCCCTGCTCCTGCCAACCTAGCAGTTCGAAAGCACGTCAAAATGCAAGTAGATAAATAGGTACCACTCCAGCGGGAAGGTAAACGGCGTTTCCGTGCCCTGCTCTGGTTCGCCAGAAGCGGCTTAGTCATGCTGGCCACATGACCCGGAAGCTGCACGCCGGCTCCCTCGGCCTTTAGAGTGAGATGAGCGCTGCAACCCCAGAGTCGGCCACGACTGGACCTAATGGTCAGGGGTCCCTTTACCTTTTAACAGCAGGGG